CAAAAATGTTGGGGTTGTCCGTTAAGAACTCGGCCATCTTGGCGATGGCGTTTTCGTTGTTGGGCTGGGTCCTTTGGGACCCTTGCTCTTCAGAAATGCGATCTTGCTGGGCTCCCGAGGTCTGCCCAGCCCCGGTCGAGGGAACTCTTCCGCTTCTGGAGCGCGTGGATCTCATTTTAGCAATAGTCTTGTTCCCACAGACGGCGCCAATTGAAGAGGTGATTTTTGGCGGGTAATTAGTCCAACCGAAATCAGCCCTCTCGTAAATGTGGTGAGGTGAACTCGATTGTATCTCCTCAGGTAAAGTGAGGCTACTAGTCCGAAGTGGAAGGCGGGGCTCTTCCCCTGGGATCACTCCGACGATCAAGTTAGTATGAGAACGAGAAGAATAAGAGTATGAGTGAGTGAACAGTATGCCTACTTATTGAGAGTAGGTGAGGGGTATTTATAGAGTGAGAGTGAAAGGTAGGCCGGAGAGCGCATGCTGGTGGGACCCACGTCCTGGTATTACGGCTCTGTTCCCTGCCATGAGACCTGACACTGACACTGTAGCCGCCTGGGCAGGGAGAAGAGGAGCTTTACGCAGTGGTCATTAAGTCTCCCAGGTGCTTTTCAGATAAAGCACTGGCCCTGGAGGATGTCAGGTAGGTTAACATCATCAGCGTGCAGCCGAGGTGGAAGCCTGAGAGGTGGAGGTCACCTAAGCAGTAGACCTGGGACCCGCCGAGCTCATTAGAAGGACAAGGTGGGGGGATCACCTCGGCCGTAGAGGGTGGCCGGGGTGAGCATCCTCAAGAACCATGAAAGCTACTTTCGCCACCTTGTGTTTGATGATAGATAAAATGTTCAAGTTCTCATACCGCTTTCTGGATGTGATTTTGGCACCCATGTGCCCAAGCGTTGTTGTTACATCATTTTTTTGTAATTCATTATTCTATGCTCCGATCATATTTTCATCAAAATCAAAGACTATACAGGACAATGTAAGATTAATTGATGCAAAGACAATAAATGACCTCGAGAGCTACCTCTTCAGTGGTCCACAATTGGCGTCTTGAAAACACAAGGAAGATTGCATTTGGTAGCTCATACTTCGTGCATATATGTCGTCCTTAGATCCACCACCTTGTACAACTTTTAAAGTGATTATACTCCTAATGACACACCTGTTTAGATTGAGTTTCATGATCAAAACATTTTCTTGAAACTTAAAGCATAGGATTCAGCTTTCAGCAATTTTGATTGCCCCTTACCTCATTCATTTGTACAAATTCTGAATCTGAGGTGAAGTTAACGAAAAATTTGCTTTTTGTATCATGCGCATCTGAATATCCTCTTAAACTCGTCAGAAACCGGTGTCCTTAATTAGTTCCTTCATCCTTGTCTGATAAAAGTCATGAAAATATCATCCACGCTATTTCATAAAAAGCTTATTTGCATGTACAAAGTGCTACAAGCACCATAAGTGATCATCTGGATAAAAAATTGTTCGACAAAATAGTTACCATCATGTCATGTAGGTTTAAGTTGTTTAGCAACGTTTAGTTATTGTGTTTGACAATAACAGGAGAGAGCTTATGATGGATATAACAAAAACGCAAGAAGCCTCTCAATAATAAAGTAAACTTTCTTATTCCGAGATCCTAAGCTAGCATAGGACAAAGAACAACATTTCCATCTTGCTAAGTTCTTGCTCCTTTACCTTTAAAGGTCTAAAACTCAAGAAATACTTAGCTATACCTCCTTGTAGCTTTCCAATAATGGAAGTATTGCAACGCAAGCAAAAAGTTACTTCTCAGGTAAATTTTCAGTTAAAAAGGGTGACAAATTCTTGAAGTCATTGTAAATTTTAATGGGTGGGGTACATGAGAATGAGATAGTTTAGTCCCCGTGCAAATTATTCTTCTGCTAAATTAACCAGTCATAAAAAAGAATGTATAGTTTGGTAAACATAGGGATGTATACGTTGTTAGCATCATTTCATTCAATAATCCAACTTCTAGAAGATGACCAAAGATTTTTACTTCATCGATTCGAGCTGTTAAAGTTTCTATTGAAATATATTGCTTGTCTGGTATACTTGAACAACCTACTCAAATTAGCCTTCAGATGCTGTTTTTCCTATTTATTTCTTTACAAAAGACATAATAATGTTGTGTTAGGGAAATTATGCTAAGATTTATTCTCAAACTAAAGAAAAGCCCGAGAGTTTAGTATTGTAGTCATGCATATTGAGATGACGTTGTGCTAGGGAAAATTATGCTAAGATTCATTCTCCAACTAAGGAAAAGCCCGCTTTTTTTCTATCAAAGAAAGCCGAATCATTTCTTGTTAAAGCAAATTAGCACCACGATTGATCCCGTTCAAGAAAGTGACCCTGTGTCATGGGCCAATACCATTTCAGCCCTGGCTCAAGGTGGGCTTTTTTCTGACATCGCCTTGCTGAGTGCCTGTCTGATGATGAACTCCGGCTCCAAGCCAAATGACTATGCTTTAGTCCACTTGATCCGTACATGTACCAAATGTGGCTGGTTTTCACTCGGCCAACAGCTTCACTGCCAAATTATACAATCTGGGCATGATTCCAATGTCTTTGTTTCCACCGCTTTGATCAATTTCTACGTAAAATTTGAGCTAATTTATGAAGCGCGGAACCTGTTCGCTGAAATTCCTGAACCAAATTTAGTTGGTTGGAATTCTTTAATTTCTGGGTATGTTCGTTCTGGGCAATTCAGGAAATCCCTCACCTTGTTTCTCCAGCTAGAAAAATCTGGTATTTCTGCAGATTCATATACATGCACAGCTGCTTTGTCCGCATGTGGGCAGCTGGCTTTATTGCAGTTTGGAAAACTAATACATTCCAAGATTGTGAAACTTGGTGTTGAATACAGTGTTATCGTAGGGAACTGTTTAATTGACATGTATGGCAAATGTGGAGCTGTTGAAGAGTCTATGAGGGTGTTTGATGAGATGATTGATAGGGATTCCATTTCTTGGAATTCAGTTATAGCAGCTAATGCTAGAAATGGAAGGCTTGAGCAAGCGTTAAGCTTTTTGCATCAAATGAATGATCCCGACACAATCTCTTATAATGAGGTGATCAGCGGCATTGCACAGTTTGGTAATATAGAAGATGCTATTGACCTTTTATCCAGAATGCCGAACCCAAATTCATCTTCATGGAATTCTGTGATAACGAGCTATGTAAACCGTTATAGAGCAAGGGATGCTTTGGAATTTTTCAGCAAGATGCACTTTAGTGGTGTTCAAAAGGATCAGTTCACATATTCAAGTATATTGAGTGGGATTGCAGGTTTATCAGCAGTCACCTGGGGGATGTTGATCCACTGTTGTACAGTAAAATCTGGTTTAGATGGATCAGTGGTCATTGGAAGTGCTCTTATTGACATGTATTCAAAATGCGGGAGAATAACTGAAGCTGAAATGGTATTCCACTGGCTACAGAAGAAGAATCTGATAACTTGGAACACGATGATATCTGGATATGCTCACAATGGTGATTCCAGCAAGGTGTTACGTCTTTTTGAGAGGTTGATGCTTGTGAAAAATTTACAGCCAGATAGAATTACTTTCCTCAATGTTTTGTCTGCATGTTGGCATAACAGAATGCCTTTGGATGCTGCAAATCGATATTTTGAATTGATGGTGAACGAGTACAGGATTAATCCCACTGCTGAGCATTGCTCTTCCATGATCAGGATCATGGGCCAAGAAGGAAAGGTGTATCAGGCAGAGAAGATGATACATCAGCTGGGATTTGAGTCGAATGGAGCAGTTTGGAGAGCATTGCTTGCTGCTTGTGTTACTTGCGGGAATGTAAAAATGGCCAAAGTGGCAGCGGAAAAGGTGATGCAACTTGAAGGTGATAGTGAATATGTTTATGTACTGATGTCTAATGTTTACGCTCGTCATGAGAAATGGAGAGATGTTATTCAGATTAGGACAATGATGAAGGAGAAAGAGGTGAGAAAAGAGATTGGCCATAGCTGGATTGAATTGGAAAATACATTTCCAACTTCATCCATATTGTGAAGAAAATAGAGGACGTGTCTACCATCTAAGGCTAGCCGAGTCTAACGTTCGTTAACATCTTGAAGGAAGAATGAAACACTCGTTTATTATTGCATCCATGGTTTAAATCAGATGTACAACTTTAGATTCGTATGATACTTGGTTGCAACACGAAATACATCGACTGCAACCAAAACTAGGATGCCATCGCTCAGTTGTCGCTTGTATTCATGCTTTGCTCCCATATATGGGGCCTACGCATTAAAATTGTGTTTTGGAGACGAGGCTGCAAACAAATTGAGTCAGATCAATCAAAACTAGACGGTGCCTCCAGGGGTTAGCTGGAGCGGTCAGCTTCCCCTCTTTAGGATATGGTAGACTTACCTGGGCAATCAGAGTTCGAACCCCCTTGCTGGAGCGGTCAGCTTCCCCTCTTTAGGGTATGGTAGACTTACCTGGGCAATCAGAATTCGAACCCCCTTGCTACCGTGCTCAGAGTGGAGTGAGGCCTCCTCTCCCGGGCCGGAGTGGGGTGGGATTAGTCGGGCCAGACACCCACTCCGTCAGCAAAAAAAAAAATAAATCAAAACTAGACTCTAGTTTGGTGTCAACTTGAGCTCAAGCTGTCAAGGTCGAGCCGAGTATCAAATATATATATATATATATATTTTTTTTAATATTTTTTATTTTTACTAATATAATTACATGTATATCTCTAAGTTTTTTATTATTTATTAACATGAAGTGCCCATATTATCCATTTTAATAAACATAATAATTATTTTTCCTTTTTTTTTGAGCTAGACTAGGCTCAAACTTAGGGTTAAACTCAAGTTCAAGTATTATACTGAGAACTCGTCATGTTGGAGCTTAAATTTGAACTTATTAAAACTCAGTCAAGCTTCAATTGAATAAGTTAAAACTCAACTCGTTTGCAGCCCTCAAATGCCCTCAAATGGGAGGTGGTGTATGAAACATTGGAAACTTTGTACTATAAACGAACCAAGAAACACATAAAAAGCGTAAAGATTTACAATATCAATTGATACATCTCTATTTCTTGGCAATTTGAGAAATGGAATGATACCTTCAGGCATTGATGTATTGCCATAGTTGAGATATGAAAAAACAACCACGTCACAATCCAATTTAAATCCTAGTCCAGTAATCCAACCAAAACTCAAAGGCTGTGCCAAACATTTAATGGATCAACATATCTCGTGTGGGGTACAATAATAGCTGAATTTGCTGCTTTGCAAAGTGCAACTTTACTTTATGATCAACTAAATGTTTGCATAGAATATATGCAAATACCCTGGTAATCCATTCACAAGAAGGCATAGCACTTCATGTTCACCTATTGAAGTCACCTTGGAACTGACTGACCCAGCTCTAATTCAACAAACAAAAAAGAACTCGTATCAGAATTACAATCAAACCATGTCAAAATAAAACAAAGAAGACTTTTCTCATCAACAGATATTTCAGAAAATGACTGTTAAATAACTTGTTGCCAAATTATACAAATAATCATCTCCGCTCAGAAAATCCTCCTTGTTTTGGTACTATTCGTCTAGCAGCTCCCTAGTCCTACCTCGGCACATTCTCATCAAATTGCTTATCAGCTCGTTTTTACTATCATCTCCCAAAAGTATTTTGGGAAAACATATTCTACCACAGCTTTAGTTTGCAAGTGACTGTACAGACAGCTAGACCGAGTTCATTTCTAGCTAAAACGTCCACAAAAAGTATCTTAAGACATGTTATAAACAAAGAAAAGTTCCTTGCAACTAGATTCACTTGAGCAGGTGATGGAGCCCACCTCCAAAAACAGCAAAAATGTATCACGTTCCATCATATTCATCTGGGAAAAGGAGAATTGTCATTACCATAACATTGCAATCAAACCAAAGCACAATCGTTGTACGAAGAACATACTGGTTTCTAAACCTTTATATGGAGATAAAAAAAGACTTCACCCATTATCAGGAGCCAAAGTAATTTGAAATCTTAAAAACTAGCCATTCGACCACACAGGATTGTTCAAATCTTTAGTGGAAAGGGTTTTCCCCACAAATTTTCATCCAATTTCATAGAAAGATAAGCCAGGTAGCAAACCATTGTAGTTTACATAGCAATAGGTTGGTTGTGGAACACTGTATCCCGCCCTCAAAATAAAACCATGTAGTCGATTTTATATTCTCACTCTAATGTTGAGACACTAGTAATTCATCAAATTGGAGGCAAGAGCCAGAACAAGAATAGATATGAAAAGTCTTTTGAGTGGGTGTGGCTTTTTAAACAGAACAGATGGTTTTACTATTTGATGCAGCAATTTAGCAGATATGAAGTTGTCAGGGATTTAACAAATCAAAGCTTCCTGATTTCAAGTAATAGAGGTGTTCTTACATCGGCTAACTGGGGCTTCCTTTACCTAAAAGTAAAAAACTGCCCATACTAATGAAATTCCACAAAATTTTCCAAACCTCAATTCTCATGTGAGTTTAGTGAGGTGGCACATAGGCACGCCAACACAGAGACCACAAAAGATGAACAATAACGAAGAGATCACCGAACACATACAATTCAGGAAAGTCAACTATTGAATGAGAACAGAAAAAAGTCGCCAATACAACCCCCCCCCCCTTTTCCATAAGGCACCTCTCTGACCTCACAACCACAGAGGATAGGAAAAGAGACTCTGCAAATTCCAAATCATACACATAAAGGATGACTAAGTACTTGAGCTAAAAAGTACAAATTTCACTGTATCCCATATACAAGAGCAAATTGAGATTTATGGTCTTTTATATCCATCAAACATGTAACTAAATTCCTTAAGATTGTTAACCAAATGTCCATAACTGAATGTAATGCACTGAGTCATAATGGGAAGACCTTGTAAAATGGCAGTATAATTCTTTCAAGCTTTTGGAAACTCATGTGCCTGCAGGAACCAAATAGTCCAGGTCAGATAGCGGATAAATGCCTTCCGCCCCAAAAAGAAATGGTCAATTTGTTCCTAGCATGGTTTGTGTTGAAATACAAAGATGTTTAAGACTGGAGAAGCAAAATAACTAGTTGACCTTGGTATCTTTTGGGAGTAGAACACATTAAATTTCAACTCAAATCTTAATTTATGATAATTTCTGAAATAATCGCTCAAAAGCAAAGCTTGAACAACAAAAGCGAGTAAGAAGGTTCATTCAGGCAATAGTATCCAAAAGAACAGCCTCTTTTTCTAACATGTAACCACAGTTGTGCAAGAATGCCTCCACTATTGAGCAAGATACATTATCCCATAGAACATTCAATTCCTATGCATACACATGCAGACAAGTACATCATATGTTTAAGTGGAAGCCTAGCAGTGGACTTCATCAGCTTCTACATTAACGTAAAGCACACATACAAAAACAAAGAATACATGTAATGATACTGCATGCATTATGATATATTTAACTGGCTCCGGGTAAACCTTAACAGTTGAGTTGAAGGATCCATCTATCAAGAACATATTAATGTCATCAGAACAATCATAAGTTGAATATCAAAGAATAAAGAGAAAACAAGGATGACCATCTTCCTCTGTTCTACCAAACAAGAAGCCATAAATTCACATGTCCTATCAAGAAAAATTAATTAAAGTTGGAGGGTTCATCAACAAGATGGTACTTGCTAAAGTCATTCAAACAATGAAAAATTAGAGATCAAAGAAGAAAGATTAAACAAGGACAACCACTTTCCTGGTTTCATTATCTGTTCTATCAAACAAAGAGCCATGGATTGCCATGTCCTATCAAGGAAACTTAATTTACACGTATCCTCATATGAGATCAGCACTAAGCCACCATTAGGAGTCCTTGGACCCCTCCCCTCCGAATGTCTACAATTACTGAATCTGTGATCATGCAGAAAAACATTGCAATGCTCACGTGACATCCAACAAATTGTGCAAAAGGGTAACCTTTGGTTCATGTAAAACATTCAGCGACTGATAATCCTATCACAAATAGAACCCAATCCCTCTGATTCAAACAAAGGCAACAACAAAATGAGAACTTCATATTAAATGAAAATGCTATACCGAGCAATGCCTTTTGACTCTGGTAAACCAAAGCATTAAAAATACCTAAAAAAATAGGGAACATGTTCAAATGGTTGCTGTAGTTTAATTAGTCCTGAATTCCCAATGTTCATTCAGAGGAAAGCAAATGAAACGTTACAGAAAATATTCACTCTTCACCATTCAGCATCAAATAACCACGCCAAAAAGGACTAAAGAAAGAAACAAGCCAAATAGTACTAGCATGTCATCGAATTAATTAAAATTGAATTACAGGAATCATTGCGGAACTTCAAGAATAATAATAATAATAATAATAACATACAAGGGAAGAGAATACTAGAGCTCTGGAGAAGTGCAGCAGAGTGTACCCTGTGAAAGAGCCCTGCAACTCCTGGATGTTGAACTCAGGCACGACGTCATCCTCGCCGTCGCAACCGCGCTGTGCAGCGGTAGCATCGACTGCACCGCTCCCAATTCCGACGGAGCCCTATTGATTTCATTTCAAAAATTTTAAAAACAGTTTTCTTAAAAAAAAAAAGAAGGAAAATATCTTAAATAAGATGCAAAGAAATGGTAAAATAATCTGAACAAATAAAAGCAACCTGGCGAGGGAGAAACGGCGGAGGAATGACGTGGTGGCGTTAGTGGATTTTGGAAACGACGTCGGAATGGATCTGTTAACCAGAGAAGAAGAAGAGGAAGCTGATTTATTGAAGGAGGATTTGAGGGATGAAATTGTAGCCCTATTCATAATTCTGCTGCTGCACTTCGATGCCATTAGGAAATGGAGTGAGATCTGAAGTGATGCGCTGCCAAAAATATGAGCGAGCTGAGGAAGAGGGCTTATAGAGTTTGTAGTTTACATTTTCCCCTTTGTAGATTTTTGCGAGGGTTTAGGGTTTAAGTTTTTTCGTGAATGGCCCCGTAGAAAGTGCAAATATTTGTAACTGTCCCTCATGTTTGTTAAAATTGTGCTCAGGCTTCCCCAGCTTCCTCCCCAATGGCATGGGATTTTTTTTTTCCCCTTGGTTTATAATAGTAGTACAAGATTACAAGTTACAATTGAAACCCAAAATGGTAAAATTAATGCAATTGATAAAAGCAAGAAGCCATATATAGCAAACTCAAAATAATGGAGGAGGAATGTGTTGGGTGATTTATGAGGAAGGAGTGTATGTGAAAAGTTCCGAATTCGAACTCTCTCATTCACACTTAAAAAAATTTTCTTTTAAACAATGGTTAGCAAAAGCAATTATGCCCACATACATTGAGACAAATATTTGTGGGCATGATATTTGTCTCAATGTATTTGTCACAAAATTTATCCTCTACTTCGTACTTTTCTATTCTAAAATTACTTAGAAAAAAATGCAAAAACGAATTTATTAGGAATTTGGAGTTTAGGATAACTTCAACCATCAATACCTTTTTTTTTCTTTGAATTAATCTTATATACATTAACAATGCATACACTATCACAATTGGATCCTTAACAACAAGAAAAAAATTGAATTTTAATTTAAAATTTAGATCAGTTATCAATCATTCAACAGTAATAGTACGTACATTGTGAGTTTATAATTCTGTACACTTTCAGTGTATATAAATTTAATTATTTTTCTTTTATTTTCTTTTCTTTTTGTTAGATCGAATGGATATAGATATTATTACCCTTAAACAGAGCAACTACTGATTCTGAATCGATATTTGAACAAGATAACCACGAAATGATCTTGGACCCCTAATAGCAAAGATGGGGTAGATGACATCCCATAATCTTGGACAAATGCAGGTACTTCTCCAATCCTTATCTGACTCGTGCCAAAACGCCTGATTACCTTTGTGGGTCATAGATACGTGTACCACGTGGCACGGCCACACGGGGCACCCAAATTTTGGCATGTGACCTTCCAAGTAAACTATTTTTTATTATCCGTTATACTAAAAATTTTTCTCCATACAACATTTTGGTACATAATTTTTGGAGGTTATGTATCTTAGAGATATGTACATATTCATGCTTCAGGCCTCAAAATCAAAAGTAAGTTTCAAACGGGAAAGATTTTTATTTTTATTTTTTAAGTTTCAAACGGGGGAAGAAGAAGGAAAAAGAAAAACAGAAAACCAAAACAAAACAAACCCTCAAAAATGACACGTAGCTGTTGGACAAGGACCATAAGCGAAGCTGTCCGTCCAACCCAAATCACAAGGACTATAAAGTCCATAACTCAAATCACAATCCAAGACGGTACCTTTTTTTTTTTTTTTTTAGTAACAACAACAATTGTATAACTTATTCTAACCTAATCTAAAAGAAGAAGAATTCAACGGAAAAATCCATTCAAAAGAACCCAATCGAAGGTGGCAACCACAATCCAAAGACGGTGCTTGCTGGATCATTTTATCAATCCCTATTTAAGTTTGATTAGTTCATTGATGACGCATGATTGGATTAATTATTTTATATCATCTCATATTTAATTGTATTTTATACACGAGATTACATATTTCAACTAATTGAATTAATTCTCAATTCATGCGATATAATAATTTCATGAAAAGGTGGTATTAGTCATCTTAAAATGACTAAGACATAAGATGATGAACTTTTAAATCAATTTATCCTTACAAATAATATAAATTAATACTCTTATAATTATATAACATTACCCGCATGCATTAATATAACATGAATGGACTAGTCAGTGAGTTATAGCTTTCTGCCTTTCTTTATCTCCGGAACACACACTTCTAGAGTCCTACGTCAAGCAAAAGAGATCTTTGCATAGCCTTAGCATTTGTATCCATCTTCCAAGTTCCTTTCTTTCTTATACCCTGTTTCCGAGCCTCCAAAAAGTTCCTTGCTTTTACAAAGGTAAATAATCAGCCTTCTCTTTCATGTTTTCACGGCATTGTCTTCCAATTTGGTCTAAGAACACAAGAATGATTCTTTTGAAAGATGACATCCCACGATGCAAAAGAATGTTCTTTACTTCCTTTTCAGTGTAAACAATTTTTTTTCTAAAAAATTTCAACATCAAATAAAACCTATAAGTATCAGATAAAGAAAAAGCAAAAAGGGCCAAAAAGGAAAAACCTATGCAATCATAATCACAACGAAAAAATGAAAACCACCATGACCAAAAATACAGTGGTCCACTTGGAAAATCTTCTTCTTTCCATGTAAATGCTCCGACTTGAGGAAATATCCGATTCATATAAAGAACTGTACTTGAAATTTGGGTTTGACCCGTATAAGGCCTGGATCCCTTCCACGTCATCAACTCTTAGGTCCACTTTCTTAGTCCTAGGACTCAAACTTGGGTACATGACTGCGTCCTTAACCGCCGAGTGAGCCAACCCAAGTATGTGCCCGATCTCATGGGTCGCCACTGATTCCAAATCAACCGCCACCTTTGACTTCTGTTCTTTGAAATCGACGGCCCACGCTTCAGCACCGTCCAGGTGGAGCCTTCCATTTTCCGGCGAGAAAGCGTGTGCTAGCACTCCCAACACCCCGTCAAACGGCTGTCCGTCCCCGTGATCCCCCCGGTACCACCCGATTTTTATGTTGGCTGAATAATAGTCGTCCACCTCTGTGAAGTTCACCGGAATCACCGACGACCACCGGGCGAAAGAGCGTTCAAAAACAGCTCTTATATCAGCCGAACTTATATAGTCTATGGTATGATCCGGCGAGAAAGCATATGTCAAAATCATGGGAGATGATCTATCCCACCTGGGCTCACCGTCAAAATATGCATAGTGAATTTTCGCATGCAACTTCTGGGCCGCGCGACTTTTTTCGTCGCTAACGCCGCACCTGGGCGACGTAATTACTTTCATGGTATCAGAGTCGAGCCTTCCAGTCGCGGGTAATCCAAGGTTTTTCTGATACTGGAGCACGGCCGATTCTAAGTCTTCGTCGAAAGAATCCGTGAGGTTTTGGTTTGGGATTGATAGGTAGCCGAAACGTTGGAAGTACTTCTTGAGCTCCGACATGCCCCTGAGTTGGCTGCCCTTCTCGGCGTCCAGGAATCTCGTGAAGCTGTGCCACGTGGCGTTGCTGTTGGTCCGGACATCGGCAGTTAATTCAGTTGAAGGGTCAATAAGCTTTCTGGCGGGAAGACACGGGACAAAAAGGAGGAGGGCGAACAAGGAGAAGAACACAAATGTTTTTTTTTCATAATAATAACTGAAAAACGGCAACATGATGATTACTTATTTGGAGGTCGGAGGTGGCAGCCCTTTTGATTTCGTGGGGGGGAGAGATTGGGGAGGCTTTATTAACAGTACTATGAAGAAACAATTTAATTACCGTCTACCAAACAAACTTTGTTTACTATTCCAAAGGAAGAGACCATGGCCTGGTTTTGAATATTACTATGCAAATACCACTTATTTTTGGTCCGTATCGAGGGAGAGCATATATAGCTCGAAGACAAGATCATTGCATAAGTAATAACTTGGAGAAAGTTTAGGAAGATTCTTCCGTGTGGATGTGAGTCTTTTCAGTTTCCGATTCGGACTTAATTTGATCGAGGGTGTAAAACTGTTCTGGTGGGTGAACCACCGGCTGTTTTTTTTTTTTTTTCCTTTCCTCTCATGGTCTGAATTTTGATGGTAGTAGACTAATTAAGCCTTGGACCATGATTGTTTTTTAGGTGGACAGGAAAGTGGATCCACTTTATTCTATGATTTGTTGTTGTTTAGGACTAAAATTCTGTGAAACTTAGTTGTGAAATTGATTAGTTTGTTGACCAAATTAGTTGATATTTACGTCATCAGAAGTTTGCTTGTACGATGCGATGATCGATCTTAGAACATATGTAGACTTTGGAGAGGGGCCAAGCTTCTTTTCTGGAGGAAGACCAGAAAAAAAAAATATATATATATATATATATATATATATATATATGTGCTGGATGAACAAAATATCAATTAATTTACAATTTAAACGTGGTTCATGTTTACTCTAATTTCTCAATCATCTAAACTTTTAACACACAATTACAAATCAAAGTTGGTAAATATAACTGTGGACAAGGATTTAAACTGTTTAATTGTGGTGGCTATGTCTATGTGTCAAGATTTATCCATGCATTAATTAATTTACACGTAACGAGTATTTTCTTAATTTTCAATTATTTTGAACTTAGGAAAAACATGATCGGGTGCCGGAAAGTTTAAAAACTTATTTAGCGAAGGTTATAACCAAGTAATCTAAATCTATTACGAATTTTGGCTAAGGTTGAGGGTTCAACACCTCTAAGTTGTGTGTTCTAATTTTTTTTTTTTTTTTTTGTCCTTTGTTTTTAAATCTCGTTTTTTTTCTTGTTAGCAATTTTTTTTTTTCAAAAAAAAAAAAAAAAAATCTGTTATATACGAATGTGGCTCGTAATAGAATTGATATATGTTTTTTCTTCTTCTTCTTCTTCTTCTCCTCCTCTTTGGGTAGAAGTGATTTTTGGTAATTCGATAAAAGAACGAGAGAGACGTTAAAGGTCCAACTCTTCTTTAGTTTCGCTTTCGCTTTGCAAAGAAAGGAACCAATAGGGACGAGTCGTCTGACGCAGCAAACAAAGGGTCCATTTTCTAGTCTAGTCTTAATTCCTAATTTTGATTGCTTCAAAATAGACTTTTTCTTCTCATAGGAAACAACAATGCAATCTAAATTGTCAGGTCAATTACGCAAATGTACGTTGATTTCGTTCCAACATACAGACTTCTATTCCCACCCAACAGAAATATAGGACGAAAACTGTACATAATTACCTTGGAAAAATTCCCCCTCTTCAAATCCATATCTAAGAAAACAGGCCTAACACTTTTAATCCTAACATAGTATAAATAAGTATAATACTTT